AGTTTTAGATTTAACGCCTGCACAGCCTTCCATTATTAAGGGCACACCCAGCGCTTATTCGACTTTACTGGGGTGGGTAATAGCGGGAAACGTACATCAAAACTCTACAATTACAAAATTGGCAGCGCATGTTACGATAGATAACGAACCGTCACTTGACGAAATTCTGAGAATGTTTTGGGAGTGTGAAGAAGTACCTTTATCAAGGTTAGTCTCACCAGATGATCAATTTTGTGAAACACAGTATCAAATGTCCACAAAACGAAACGAGAAGGGTCAATATATTGTGCGTTTTCCATTTAAAAAGAACGGACCTCAATTAGCGAGTAACAGGGAAAGTGCTTTGAATAGATTTCATAAACTTGAAACACGTTTCAAGAGAGATGCAGAGTATTTTCGACTTTACTCTGAAAATATTAACGGTTATATTACACAGGGTCACTTAGTTCCCACAACAAAGGCATCATCTTATATTATGACTCATCATGGGATTTTGAAACGAACTGGGGAGAATAGTAAGGTCAGGGTGGTATTTAATCCTACGGAACGAGACGCTCAAGGATATTCTTTAAATGATTACTTATTAGCGGGTCCCAAATTACAACAGGACATATCAGTAATTATAACGAGATTTAGGCTTAGACCGATAGCTTTGGCTTGCGATATTTGTCAGATGTTTAGATGCATTTTGGTACACCCCGAAGACCGTAAATATTTCCATATGTTTTGGCGATCTAGTCCCAATGAACCTATAAGGGAGTGGGAGCATACCAGAGTTATTTTCGGAGCAACCTCATCACCATTTTTAGCAAATCGTACCATTAAACAACTTACCTACGATGAAGGTAAAAATTATCCTAAAGCAACGTTAGCTTTGACGCAGCAAACATTTGTTGATGACATTTTAACAGGAGCTTTTAACAAATCCGAAGCCTTCGAAATTAAGCGGCAGCTTATAGGTTTATTAAAGGCAGGAGGCTTTGAATTGGGAAAATGGGCATCTTCTGACGTAGATGTCACTCAACCGCTACAAGACTCTGTAGAACTCCCTATGGGAATCATACAATCTGCTGTTAAGGTGTTAGGAATTTACTGGGATACAACGAGCGATGTATTTCAATATAAGGTACATGAGGTTAACGAGCCTGCAACGAAACGAGGCATATTGTCAAGGGTTGCACGAACTTATGATATTAATGGTTATCTAAGTCCCTTTACGTTTTTACTTAAATGTTTGGTTCAGGCGTTATGGTTGCAAAAAATAGGGTGGGATGAGCCTTTACCAACCGATATTTTAGAAAAGTGGTTGCTAGTTAAAGCACAATTACCTTTGATAGACAGTATAACCATACCTAGATGTATATACAAAACGGAAGTATCTTGTGCTAGGTTAGTGGGTTTTTCAGATGCGAGTAGTATGGGGATGGCAGCGGTAATATATTTACGTGTGGAAATTAATAATAATTGCTTTATAAATTTGGTGTGTGCTAAGACTAAGGTAGCTCCATTGAAAACCTGGACAATTCCGAGATTAGAACTTGGAGCTGCGTGTCTCTTGTCTAAATTATTAGTTCCCACCATAGAGGCGTGTAGGTCATTTATAAACATGACGGAACCCACTTGCTTTGTAGATTCCACTACGGTGTTAGGGTGGATAAAAACACCTCCGTATAAATTAAAAACGTTTATTTCTAATAGGGTAGTTCAAATTCACGAAAATATTCCCACAGCCCATTGGAAATATGTACCAGGGAAGGTAAATCCTGCTGACCCGGCTAGCAGGGGGCTTACTCCGAGTGAATTGGTGTCATGCGATCTGTGGTGGAAAGGCCCAAGTTATCTTTTGGAAAACGAAAACCGATGGAATTTTGAATACGAACTTCCCTCAAATTTAGACGAAACAAAAGACCTGCCAGAAATAGAGATAGCATTACTAGCAACGAAAATTGATTATAGCTGTTTCATTAATGTTTTAGAAAGGCATTCGTCTCTTTTAAAAATACAACGTATTTTTGGTTATGTAATTAGATTTGTTAAAAATTGGATAGGTAAACAGCGCACCACAATTGATTCTTGTTGTTTAACTGGTCCTCTTAAATCTGTAGAATACCAAAACGGTTTACTATTAGCATTACGCATAACACAATCTAAGTATTTATTTAACGAGATCAGTTTGATTAAACGGGGGTTAGTGTGTTCGAAGAATATAAGATTCCTTTCACCATTTCTCTCGGAGAACGGGTACTTGATGGTGGGGGGGCGTTTGAGACATTCGCAATTACCTTCACGACAAAAACATCCTTACTTGATTCCAAAGGAAAGCAGATTGGCGATATTGATATGTGATCATTTTCATATCTACTCGGGTCACGGTGGACCACGTTTAGTACATTCGCTAATTGCACGGTATTACTGGATACCAAGTTTAAGGACATTAATTCGGAAAAGAATTTTTCGATGTTTGGTATGCTATAGATTTGCTTCAAAACCCATCCAACCTCCGATGGGAGATCTTCCTGCATATCGTTTGGAACCGGGCAGGTGTTTCTCTCATACAGGTCTCGACTACGCAGGACCATTTGAAGTAAAAATTTCAAAACTAAGAAATGATAGATATCAAAAATGTTACGTTGCACTATTCATTTGCATGGTTTCAAGAGCTATTCACTTAGAATTGGTCACCTCTTTAACTACCGAAGCCTGCTTATCTGCATTAGACAGGTTTATTTCAAGACGAGGATTACCGTGTAATTTGTATGCGATCAAGGATCTAATTTTAGAGGCGCGGCGAGAGAAATCTCAGAATTGACAAAGTTTTTTGATGATTCCAATCCAGAAATATCACATTATCTATCATCTCGAAACATTGCGTGGAATCATAACCCACCTTATGCACCACATATGGGTGGTCTTTGGGAAGCGGGGGTTAAATCCTTTAAGTATCACCTTAAGCGCATTGTGGGTAATGCGAGATTGCATTTGGAACCATTTATGACTACCATAGCTCGTATAGAAGCAATATTAAATTCAAGGCCATTTTGTAATCAATCTTCTTCGCCAGACGAAGATTTAGATCCCTTAACTCCTGGTCATTTTTTGGTAGGTGGACCGTTGCTAACTCGAGTAGAGGTAGATATAACGAATGTTCCACAAAACCGTTTAAGCCAGTGGCAATTATGTCAGCAATTAGTACAATCGTTCTGGAAACGTTGGTCCAATGAATATATTCAATCATTGCAAAAAAGACCAAAATGGACTCAACCTTCTCCAGAAATCAAATTAGGAGATCTGGTGTTATGGTATCACCCTGATGCCCCACCTGCTCATTGGCCAATTGGCAAGGTTGTCAGATTAACTAAGGGACAAGACGGTATTACTAGAGTTGTAAATATACGAACTGCCACGGGTGAAATTCAGCGACCTGTGAATAAGGTGGCACTTTTACCACCGCCTTAAAAAAAAATTCATTAATGAAATGCATTGAACAATTTTTTTCTATTTAAGAATTATTTTTTTTTGTTATTATTTTTGGAACCTAAACCAAATCAATCGTTTTACATTTGTTTATAATTTTTTTGGTGAAATTTTGAAATTAATTTAAATCTTAATTTGAGCAAATAATTAAATTTGGGTGGGGGGTATATGTTGGAAATAGGTAAATTAAAGTTCGTTCAATTCCGTTTTTCCCTCCTTCTCAAAAAGCGTCACGGGAAGATACCGAAACAAGTGAGTGAGTGCGGTACCGCCGAGAATGAAACAACTAAAATTACCGGTAAGTGACGCTGTCCCACTGTACCATTAATAACGAACGAACGGGAAAATTTGGATACAAACAATAGGTGCCGAAGACAAGTAAATTGTCCGAATGCCGTAGTTACACAACAATATTGTAATGGAACCAAATTTGCCAGCTAAAATTCAATTTAAATATTCTCAAATCCGTTCCTGGCCCTTCATGAAAGAATTCAAGTTAGCGTTTTGTTTCGTTTCCGTGGAACGCGTGTTTTTTGTGCTCAGCCCTACATTCAAATGGGCCATAATTTACAATAAAAGTGTCAAACATAACGCTAGACGAGGAAAGTTAATGCGTATATATTAACAATTTTCGTCTAAGATTTGCTTAAAGGGGAAATTTGGGCAGAGCTATTTGTGCTTTTGTTGAAGGCGGTGGTAATTTTTACGTTTCGAATACCTAGTTACTGTGGCTGTTTCGATTGCAATTACTCTGCTGACGTATTCCTTATTTTATCTTTCCGTCTATTGCATCCATCTAGTAATTATGTGATCGTGTTACATTATTTGCCAAATTAACGGCATTCCCGTACAGCATGGGTATTGTCATTAATACCACATTACAAATACAAATTGCCCTTTTATAATTAGACTGATCTTACTTTGAATTAAATGCAAGATTCCATTATTTTTTCTACGTAAATATGTTGTTTTTCAAATTACAGTGTCCCTTTGTTCCTAGTGCTGGTTTTATCTACCAACACGCAATATGAATTTCTGACGGAGTTACGTGTTTTTATTTATATTTAGATATAGTATGTTCTCTTAGGGATGATATTCGATACCAGTATGCAGAATCAAACGATGTAATAAATATTATAGCGATTCGTGGATGGTGCTGTATTTGGAAACATCGATACTACATTCCTACTTTATAATTGAATTTCTTGCAGAACATTTCCTTTCTGTTGCATAAATTGTTACTGTTTATTTACAGGGTGCTTCATCTGCGGGCGAGTGACGTACGTTAGGTCGTTGATTGTTACATATTGCATTCGCCAATGAGAATTAATTACTTTAATACTAATATTTCGTCACGACATGTTCCTTTCTCTAGAATTCTAGACGATCATGTGCCATGGGGTTCAGTATTAGTTTGGGAGGGAAAGTTTTGAATTTAAATCTTGAATTGCGCAGTCCTCGGGACGGGTACGCAACAGAATATACACAGATAAATATAGACCCCTCGCTAAAGGTTCCAGATAATAAATTATATTTCTTGTTCTCTTAATACTGCTTACTTGATGTTGCCTTCACTTTATGAATATCTTCTCGGATTTACCTGCAACTTGTCTAAGCTAAATAAATCAGGGTTGAGAGGCGATACCTCTTCAGTTGTCCAAGCACGTGATGGTCAATCTCGTATAATTAGTGAACGTAATAAATAATTTAACCAGCTGTACAGAAAAACATTATTTAGAAGGATCGACGAACGCAATTACCAACATATTTCAGCTACGCGTACGGGTCGCAAAACATCTAACGAAAAATACTATTTATCTATGGGTAGAGGAATAGTTCAGATTCTGCGAGTGGCATACCTACATTACCAACGATTGTTTCATCGTATACGAAGCGTACCCAGACTCTGACCACCGATTACAATTTCAATTAACAGAACCACGTACATCGATTGCTTTTAGTTTGCCTTTTTTTACAACCTTGTTTTTAGATAATTAATTGTAAACCGTCAGCTGCTGTTATAAAGTTGAGCATTATTTCCTGCACCAAAAATTCAGTTATACATTGTGTTATGGATGCAGATGATTTTAAACGGTTTCATAAAGCACATTAAAACTAAAAATTTGGAAGTAGTTGCCAAAACTAATTTTTCAGCACTTTGAGGACCGTGATATTGTAGAAAAATTACTAATCTTGTCGAATTTAAAACCGTTAGCTACAAAGAAGTGGAAGGCAAACAGGAGAATATTAGATCTAACAAAAATAAACAACCATCATCTCTCGTTTGATCTGACTGCTTTGAACCCGACAAGATATCAAACTCAGATAGCGATGTGCTTAAGACACCTTTAAGTAATATTTATAAAACTTATGGAATTACCGGTCGTATATAATAATTACGACAATAAATAGGTATCCATTAAATCTGATGTACGCGCACAAGTTAGTATGAAATTAAATGGATGTACAATGCTTAAGAGTTGCCAGTGAAGAGAGCACGACGATGTTATCTCCAGGAACCAATTAAAATGAAATACGTCCTGTTGAGGTAAATGAGGTAATATTAACGTAAACTACTTAAAATTACTGGCTCGTTTAACTTTATTTAAAATATGGCGGCAGTTAAATTATTAACTAGTCAATAATCCTGAAACGATCAAAGTACCAGGAGACCATTTTTCAATAATACAGGTGTTACATAAGAATAATTAATTAATAAAAAAAACTGAGGCATTGTTACGCTTTAACACATCTCCCTCGGCTAGGAACGAAATCCCCACAGAGTACCTGGACCAACAATCATTTATTATTATGTCAGTGGTAGAAATAATAGCCTGTAATTTTGCAATTTAGAGTAATTCGTTACGTTTAGGTTCCCTTCAGAACGATTAAGTTAACTTTGTGTAGCTTCTGCT